TTGGACCTCCAGAGCGCGGTAATGTTGTGTCCAGGTTTACTGAGCACAGGCCAACTGGTTATATTATACTAGCTGTCCCACCCGACTTTGCCCGGGCAAAAGTTACCTCAGGTGAAATAGTTAGCAATAGCCAATATTATAACTTAGGTGTATGAGTTCAAGGACTCCAAAACGCATTAATTGTGTGTATATTATAGCTCCTCCCGTTTACTACGTTGTTCGTTAAAATATGTACCAACTCTAAATGATTCAAACCTTGTTCAATTCGTTTATTTAATATTCTGTTGATGATATTCAAAACTTAAAAATGTTCATCGATCATCTTGAATATTGTTATTTAACGATTATCACCCGAGAGATACGCTTGCATGTATTGTATGCGTAAGGCATGTAGTATCTTTTCAATTTTCATGTAGTCAATTCACCTGAGGTGGATTGCAGGATTCTCGAAGTGCGTACGTAATTACGAATGTTTTATTAACACGTTGATATTACTTATGTGATCTATGTGTCGAAAAATTGGTCTTGGGAATACCGTTTTTAATTAAGCTATATATGCATATATCTACAGGTCTAAAATTATAATTTTGTCAATCGTGACCAATAGCAACGTTACAATAAACAAAAATGTTTTTTAATTTAGTTTCTACTCTTACTAGACAGATGGCACCTACATCTAAATTTCCTACTTTTCCGGTGGATTTTCTTAAAATTGTCTTACATAAGAGTTAGAAACTTCTTCTGACAATATTACGAACACAACAAAAAAATAATTACCCAAATCGGCGAAGCCGTTCACGTGTGATGAAGCTTCCAAGGCAAATTTATACTTAATATAATATATAGAGATAGAAAGATGGATAGAAATAGTAAAAATATGGTAAAAATTCTTCATGAGTAATAGAAAGATTGTTAATAAAATACACACACAAAAAAAAGGTCAGGTTGCAGGTAACTGGAAACCCTCGGGCCGCCGTGCCGAACCGGCTGCAACTTGTTAGCGCACATTTTATAATTTTTACCTGAAAAATCGGAACTCATTTGCGCACACGGTTATCCTAAATGTACAACTGGTTACAACGAAAATAAGGCTATATGCTTATATGACATAAGCGCCAAAGGGGCAAAAATGCAAGGCTGGGCATTAACGAGTTAAAAAGTTAAAGTTAAGTTAATAAGTTAATATAAAATTAACTTATTAACTTAACTTCAATATAAAATTAACTTATTAACTTAACTAGTTACTTTTGGCTTTTAATTAACTTAACTGTTAACTGTTAAAAATGACATATCATTTGCGCCAAAATAAATATTTTATATAAGTAGTTTTTCTAAATTGATATATCTTATAAAAATTATATTATATATGTATACTATATTATACTAATATTATTTTATATAAATAGTTATTTGAAAATTGCTGTCTTATAAGAATATTTTTATATATAATATTAGAATATAGAATAGTTTCTGTATTTTTGCTCTTTAAACAAAATACACACAACACCTTTATTCGTAACAGTTTTTGTAAAATCCATTTAAACGAATGCTTACGATTAGGTACTATAACAATATGTTACAACACAAAACTGCTCACACACGACTGTCTATGTGACAATCCATCGTAATCAGATTATACATTTGTCGATTAAGATTAAACGTTTGGAGTATGAACTTGGAGTATGTGTATAACTATGTGCATGTTTACGGCTCAACTGTTCCCAAACGAGTGGTAGTTTTGTACCCAAAAAAGTTGTCTTTTTGGTATTTGTGCGCAAACCAGTACCGCCCGCCGAACCGTATAGCCGTCTGCTATTGTTATTATTTTATGAATAAAGATATACAAATTACATGTAAAAATTCATTTTTACCAATTTCAACCTTTTAAAATCAAAATTTTGAAAATCGGGTGACGTGGTGACACTCAGAAAAGTATTTGGAACAACTCTGTGAAAAAAAATTGGAAAAAAGTTTAATACCGTCGTCACAAAATGGTAACATAAAAAAGGCCTGTTCTTTTATATATATATACAGGGTGTATCTTATGGTTTTTTGACGATTACGGAACGATGATATGGAATTTCGTTAAAACAAAAAAAGACGTGTTTCTTTATTTTTAACGAGCAATTTTTTTATAACAATTTCAAAATTTTTAAACACGCAGGTGTACCAATAGCAAAATCAACTTTTTTTTTTCAAATGGTAACCACTATATTTTTTAATGGACTCTGGTAAAGCTTTTTTTTCTGAACATTTTGGTAGTCGAATCGTCAATTTTGGTTAGCTAGTTTATTAACTATGGTCCTCCAAAGATTAGTAAAATATGCATTAATACTTTTAATTAAAATAATGGGTATAGGTTTAATTTACAAGCTCTAAACAATTTTTTCTTATAATTACCATTTGATACACTACAATAGTTGAATCGGTAATCTAATGACACCCTCAAAAAAAAAAAAAAAAAAAAATAACAAACATAATAATATTGTTTGTAAACATACTTCATTATTTTTAATTTAACATACGATCATAAAAATCAATATTATTATTTTAATTTATTATTATAATCGTAAATTATTACTTTACATTTTTTTCATCACAGTTACTTTTCTTACAATATCATAAATTTGAATTCTTAATTAGGTAGGTGGCTAAGGTAATAATGGTAAATTGGTAAATGGTATTCGATTGTTGACATTAATATGTGCAACGAAAAAAGTGCAATGTTGTGTGGTGCTCTTTTCGTAGTGGTATAAACTATAAAGTATAAACTTGATATTTTAACCATAGATTCCCTATAATGGTATCGCATCCAAAGTATGAACTTAGGAGTTGTAATTCATCCCTTTCCATCCTTTTTAGTTTTGGATATTAAAATAATAATATTGATTTTTATGATCTTATGTTAAAATAAAAATAATGAAGTATGTTTACAAACAATATTGTTTGTTTTTTTTTTTTTTTTTTGAGGGTGTCATTAGATTACCGATTCAACTATTGTAGTGTATTTATAGTTGTAAATGGTAGTTATAAGAAAAAATTGTTTAGAGCTTGTAAATTAAACCTATACCCATTATTTTAATTAAAAGTATTAATGCATATTTTACTAATCTTTGGAGGACCATAGTTAATAAACTAGCTAACCAAAATTGACGATTCGACTACCAAAATGTTCAGAAAAAAAGCTTTACCAGAGTCCATTAAAAAATATAGTGGTTACCATTTGAAAAAAAAAAGTTGATTTTGCTATTGGTACACCTGCGTGTTTAAAAATTTTGAAATTGTTATAAAAAAATTGCTTGTTAAAAATAAAGAAACACGTCTTTTTTCGTTTTAACGAAATTCCATATCATCGTTCCGTAATCGTCAAAAAACCCCGCGTACAATGACATAAGATACACTCTGTATATTATTTGGCCTGGGAAACGTCGGGCGGGATAGCTAGTTATAAATAAAATGCTAAGCAACCATTAAAAATATTATTTTTAATTTTTACATAATTGATATTTGTTAATTAAAACTTATAAAAGTATACTTAATTATTTAAATATAATATAATATCCTAGAGCTTCAAGTCAGTATATACATTTTATTTTAACAAGGAAAGACATAATGGTAAGATATTTATTTGTTTGGTATGACACCTATGACACTAAGTAAAATCTAAAAGGAAATTGTATAAAGTAAAAATATAAAATTATTAACTATATACCTGAATAAAAATACGCATATACATGTCATAATTTAAATAATATATAAGTTATATAGGTATAGTATTAATTATTTCACCATAATGAAACATTTATTATTTCAAATATTTTTAATTTTAATAGGTTTTTTTCATAAGATGGTGACAATGCATTACTTACACATTTTAAGAAAATTTCAAATTTGTAACACTTTTGCACACAAAAAAGTTAACAATTTAAAATTGTTTTGTTGCAAATATAACTGTGGTCCACAATGGACCTATTTTTGATACGAATTAAAACAGTTTTGGTGCAACTTAAAAATTCCCCAAATGCGTGCTGCAGCGAGCACTAATATAAAAATGATTAGTTTAGTGTAATTTCGTACCTAATTACCTACATAGTAGAGGTTATCATTAGTCGTTTTTGTTTTTAATTAGTGTTACTAAAACAATCAAAATTTATACAATTGATGTGCTTAATATAAAGTGAAATGTTTAATTCTATGGCAATTGGCAACCGTTTTGGGTATAATACTCAAGCCGCGAGTCTGAGACTATTTTCTTCTTTTTTCAATTCATCGTTAGGTTAACTTTGATCATGAAGCGAATGCGCTTCTCAACTAATGTAAAAGAAATTCTTGTTTACAGGCTAATGAATTAATAAGAAACATTTTTTTCTAATCCTTGTTTTTTAAATTTTTTTCTGTCAATAAAAATGCCACCAAAAGAACATTTATTACCAAATTAATTGGTACATATAGTCCAATAATAATTGTTCATTTTATTATGATCATTTTGTGTAAATATTTTGGTATTGGGTAGTACATTTTTTTTAATTTCTTATTTTGGTGTTACTTGTTTTAAGACGTCGATAAGTTTAATTCATACCTAATACATTTTATTTATTTTTAAATGAGTACCTAATGGCTAATTAGATGTATTATATTATTATCTTAAGGATAACAGTGATGATGAAAGCGATGAAAACATTGAAGATATTAATGGAATGAAAATATATTTGAATAATTTAATGAAAAAAGTAAGCGAGACGGCATTGAGTGATATACGAGAAAGTTTTCTGAAATACGACAATGGAAATGTAAAAGAAGAACAATTATATGATATTTTGAAACCATACGATATAATTTTATCGAATAAAAAATTCCACGTATTGTTCTCTAAAATAGATGTAAAAAAAAAAGGCACCGTCAACTTTTTACAATTCGTTACTTATTTTGCATCAGAACTTGAAATAAAGCGTAAACATAATATATTTCTATCAAACGAAGACAGTGAACTATCCAAATTAATGCCCAAATTACTACCGAACAAAAGGATCGAATACGGAAAAAACGACGGCAAGATTCATTACATAGATATAGTGTACTTACCGAACAAAATAAAACAATCTCAAAAAGAACCCAACGAGCCTGAATACATAGCTGCTAGTAAATCAGGGAAAATTGTTCGTTACAAGTCAGACATGCAATGGAAAACTACACACCAAACTGTTACGGTAATATATATTCAGCAGTACACTTACATATGCATATTATTTATAGGTACCTAGTCGATAGGTGTAAATGCTTAAGAGCCAAGTAAAATGCACAGGGAACATATTATTGCTGAGAAATTGTGTGAGTCAGTAAACAATTTATTAACCAGTTGTTAGCAATCGGTGGTCCGTGGCCCCCGTCTGCTTCATGCGTCGTATGAACGAAATTCAAATAATAATTATAATATAAAATACCACAGAGGGGGTTTATTTAGGGGCATATATTGATTACTGCAGCGTAAAATCTCTGAGACTCCATGTCCAGCCCTTTGTAGTGGGTACACCAATGCTAATATTAATATTTATAATAATGATCATAGACTAGCGGTGGAAGGATTCTATATTTTTTTATATTACAATTTTTATATTCATGCAGGGGCGTAGCCAAGGGGGGGGGGTGTTTAAACACCCCCCAATGACATTTTCCTCCCTAATAAAAATATTGTTTATAGGGTTTGGGACTGCTCGCATTATTTTAGATAATTTATAAATTTGTCTTATGAAAATTTTTAAATGTTTAATCAAACACAGTTTGAATTTGCATATTTTAGGAAAAGTGTACATTTGAGCGATTTTTCGCATATTTATGCATATTTTGCATTTTACTAACTTAAATGTAGGTACATACTACATACAATTGTAGGGAAAAATCATATTTGGATATCATTGAAAAATATCTTTAAAAATATTATGTTTGGTTAGGTACAATAGGCTCTAATTTTGAAATTTTGGGAGGCCGAAGCCTAAAACCATACTATTATAAAATTGAATTAAAAAAATTTAGTAAATGATTGGGAGGGCTGTTAAAGTTGTTGGTGGAGCTTGGCTATACGGTTTGCCCTATTTTCGCATAATTATGGTATGAAAGATTTTATAAGTCTCTTTGTGACAAGACTGTGTTAAAAGTGTAATTGACATCTACATTCTAGATTGTACGAAGAAATGAAAATCAGTAGATACGTGTTCGTTTATCACGGTGTTTGCATATCACGTTATTCGTTATTACATATTTATTAGCCTAGTATTTTATACCAGTATTTTTAAAAATAAAGTTGTTTTATTTCACAATAGTTTAAAAATGTCCAAAACATGCAATAGTGTACTCCGTCTATCACATTGATCAATATAGGTACCTACTACCTAGGTAGGTACCTATATTAAAATGAGTAAACCCATGTATAAATTATTTATGTTTATATACTTTCTTATTTTTTAGTTTTTTATTAAGAAAATTGTAGTATGTTTTATGAATTTTTCAAAAATAATATAAAAATGTAACTATATATATTTAAGAATATTTTGACAACTTTGACTGCATCATAGTTCGATAATATTTAGCACAACAAGTCAAGTCCCGAAATCTAAATTTATTTATATACGAAAACTGTAAAAACTTGGTTTTGATCTATACTTAAACACCCCCCCCCCCATTTCATAAACCTGGCTACGCCACTGTATTCATGCATTAATAATTTTACATTCAGGTAGGTACTATATTATAGAAATTCAACTATAATTCGGGTTGTTTACCTATAAAAAAAAATAAAACTATTTTACCAAATCAAGATTTTTTTATATAAAACGCATCGAAGTACCCACACATTTTGATCGAATTATATCGTTTGCTGTAACTGCAATTCACTCAACCAACATTATATTATATAATACAACAGAAATCATCACCGATCAAGGTAAACGGTCTAGTGGGGCTGCCGGAGTTCACAGTCATTTGCTTGTCGGTCGTGGGCGGCCAACTGTTGTTCTACGACATGTCGTCGGGCCAATTCAAGCTGTGCTTCATCGTCGATTTATGGGATCGCACGTTTGCCACTCATCTCGCGTACGTGCACACGTACTGCGAACGCAGTAAGACCGGTTCGTCTAAGATAGCGGTCGGCGACGAAGGCGGCGGCGTGAGCGTGCTCGAGTTCATGTCGTCCGACAAGCGAAACCCGTTCAAGGACAAGTCGGACGACGCCGACGAGAAGCAGACGTACAATTTTGAAGAGCTCGCGGTCAGGACGACCACGGAATCGTCGGCCAAGAGTCGGCTGCCGTTCTGCGCGTACAGATATAAGGGGCTGCACTCCGAGAAGGTCGAGCAAGTGGTGTTCTACAACAACGGCAGATCGTTCGCGTCTGTGTCGATGTCGAATCGCAAGTCGATGGCCCGATGTCTCATAATGTCGGAGCCATGCGAAGTCCACAGTTCGTCGCGGCCATCGCAGTCAACGCCGTCGCAGCCGACCAACACCTTGCCGTCCATCCGTTACACGTCAAACGTGATGGGGTTCTCTTGCGTGTGCGCGATCCGTGACACGCACTTGGCCACTGGCAGCATGGACCAGACTGTGAGGCTGTGGGACGTCACCGGCCAAGTGTTGGGCCCCGCGGACTGCACCACGTTGTTGGGCCACAAGTGGGGCGTAAAGTGCGTGTCTCACAACACGGTCAGCGGATACCTGTACTCCGTGTCCACGGAGTGCGTGATCAAGGTGTGGGACCTGGGCAGAAACACGTGCCTGTTGACGTTTACCGGGCTCACAGTGGCTGTGAAACCGAACAACAGTCAAAATTGGCCATTCCCCGTTATGCACTTCAACTGGCTCGATCAGACCATCATAAGCGTGGGTGGAGATGACATGTCGTTCATTACCGTCGAGTGTAGCAAACTGACGGTCACCGATCAGGAGGTGTCTCGCCCGCACGACGATAAGTCACACGAAACGCCAGTCGTTAGGACTCTGTACAACTCGCTGTACCAGGTATTGATATCCGTTTCCGCCACCGACTCGTCCATCTCCGTGTGGAACTTGCGCACCGGTGACGTGATCATCAAATGGTCTATGGCGCACACAGAGGAGGTGTACTCCGAGGTTCTGCCCGTAGAAATCACTGCCGCCAACTTCGACCCATCTGGTGGGCTGCTCGTCACCGGTGCGGTGAACGGTAGCATTCACATGTGGGACCCAAACAACGGTGTATGTCTGAACCGACTGCGAATCCCGTCAGGCGGCCGGATATCTGAAGTCTTCTGGTTACCCGATAAGGTGTTTATTATAATATATCATAGTAAAACAATTAATGTTCTACAGTCTAGTCTTGCAAATTAGATTTATTTTCATGATCGTTATATTGGTGAACAGTAATAATATAGAGTAGATTTTTCGAAATGACTCATGCCTCTCTCAATCATTTCCCAAACATGAGTTCAAACTTAACTAATAAATATATCAGTAACGAAGTTCCCCGCCTATATTTCCAAACTATAAAATAAAATGTTGATTAAGTAAATTATCCGTTTAAGCTACAAATAACAATGTATAAATAATATTGTAATTAGCAGTGGTATATTATATAATTCTGTTCGCACTCTGTGGCCACAGATACTGTCGACTGGTTTAGATCGGCGGGTTACCGAATTCAATGACCCACTGTTACTGTCCGAAGGAAAAGTGTGGTCGTCTAGCCACGAAGAGGCGGTGTTGAGCGCTTGCGTCAAGCTACCGTCGCTGTTTGTGACCACGTCCCAAGCGGGCGTAATGGGTTTCTGGCAGCTGAAGACGGGGAAGCTGTCCGAAAAATACAAGGCCCGCATGAGACCAGACACTCGGAAGTCTAGGAACTCATCATCAGCGAGCAAGAGTCAGATGGCCTCTACGCTGGCGAGCAAGAGCCAGATGGCCCCTACGCTGGCGAGGAAGACCCAGATGGCCTCTACGCTGGCGAGGAAGACCCAGAAGGCCTCTACGCTGGCGAGCAAGAGCCAGATGGCCTCTACGCTGGCGAGCAAGAGCCAGATGAGTTTCACATCGTACGTTGGCAGTCGAAAAGGGGAAACTGGTGGCCTGGAAACCAAGAAAGAAAATCTCAAGAGATTGGATATTGAGCACACGCCCCGTGAGCATTACGCGGCAGTCGCCACACACTTTCTGCGGGCCCGGCCAGAAGACTCAAACGTCGGAACCCTACTCGTGGCCACACGTAATGGCGTGGTGCAGATATGGTGCACGTACAAAGTGCCCAAATACGTTAGCCAGTTCATGGCCATACACATTGCCGATGATTACGTCACTTCGATGGTGTCTGACCATAAGAGTGAATACTTGATCACAAGCTTCGAAAGCGGCTACATCAAGACGTGGATAGTGACCAACTTTGGACAGCCGAGACACACGATCTACAGCATGGACATGCCATCTCTTAGGCTGCGTTTTCCGTACCTAATGAATATGTTCTACATGGGTCGAGCCGAACGTGCTGCCTCGAAGAACATGGATGGTCCACTATTGGTCAGTGCCTACAGGGCACACTTGCAACGTATCAGTCACGTCGAATACATCGAAAAATTGGAGCTAATAGTCAGTAGCAGTGTGGACAAGATGATACGTATGTGGACGTTGGCTGGTCATTACGTAGGAACTTTGGGTAAGTGCATTGTGGTCAATTTTACGATATGATTAGTACTGTAACGTGGCTAGGGAGGGATTAGTTAAATATTAGATTTCTGGAGAAGGTAGTTGACCTTATGAATATATATACCATGGGGGGCGTGGTGATGAATAGGATCTTATATTTCTTTAAGTAACAAGATCTCAGTTTCAGTTAACATAACGTTTTATTCCCTAATAGATAAGTTGTATACTATAAAAATTAATCTAAATATTTTGAAAATGTCATTATGTATAGAAAACAATAGCTTAAGTAATACCTAGTTGAATGTTTTATATCTCCTCAATTTATATATTTTGAAATACAAAAAATACACAAAAATCGTTTAGGATAAATCATTATTTTACTTGAACATTTCCGATATTGTTTCTACCTTAAATCGCTCACAAAAAATGTAATACCTACTGCTAAGCTTTAAATTATTTTATCATTTGAGCAGCCTGCACCAGTGTTTTTTTACTTTTTAGATATTGACCGGATTGAAAGAATGCAGGGCTTGAAACCGGTTACCGGTGTCTGGTAACCGCTTCCCGGTTTGTAAGTTTAAATTTTGAGAAGCGGTTAACAATTACCGGTAACCACCAAGTTCAATTAAGGTGTAACGTGTAACGGTAATCTTTTTTTAAAAAAAACGGTCAATTCAACAAAACCAGAAATTTCAAAAAAAATTAACGTTATAGTTGATTTTTGTATTTTTTTTTTTAAGTTTTATTTTATTTTTTTGATTAATAATTTTATTTACAAGATAATAAATGTAATGTAATAACAAGTACGATTAAATATGGTATACTGTCTGTAGCCGCAATAATAAGTAATAAGCACCAATCAAATAAAAATTATACGATTTTTTAATTACAATACTACTTGTTTTTTCATGTTTTGACAAATTTCGTAAAAAATTGAACTTTAAATGCTTATAAACCATTTTGACTGTGTATTTTCGATATTTTTTTTACATCTATAAGAACAATACGTTTTATGAGGATGAAAACACTTTGGATAAATTTGAATATACGTACAACTTGTACAAGGAACCATTTAATCATACATAAATAAAAAAAAAAAAACCAAAAAAAATTCAAAGTTCAAATATCTATAAATACTATTAAATATTTAGCACAAAAGAGCCAAAATATAATTATATAAAATCCATTTCATATACCTACGTCCTACATTATACAGTAAATTCCGATATACCTACTTAATATGAATAGTTGGTACAAATCTTGCATACAAATTCCCGTTTTCCTAATTTTGTTTTTTGTTTCTCCTAATTATTTTTAACTACAAAGTATTGACTCTTTTAACTTATGTCACAATCCCCTCCACTTAAAAATGCATTCAACTAGATCAATTTTGTTACTATAGGCCATAGGGCATACACCATCCTCAAAGTTTAAGATATTGAAGCTATTTATTTGTGATAGACACAAAAAAAACACATACATAAATTTACTATGAAACCAATCCATTCATCGATACTCTTAACAGTATCTAAAATATAAATTCTTGGATTCTCGATTAAAAATATGTGTTGTGCGTGCGAAGAATAGGTACATTTAAGTTATACACAACACAATGCATTAGATACAAGTAAAAAATATTTAAATCAGAGAAACGTTTTGCTCAGATTCAACTTCCATGTCCAACAAACCGAATTCAAAATTATTTCTGTGATTATACGGTAAATAAATATTAAATACAAATATGTATACATTATTATATTTTTAGGGACGACATGGCCACACGTATCAAAAACCCGCCCGGTAAACGTTTTACAATTTAAGATACCTGCAGACATCCAACGGCAAACTTCATTCACTACGATTCAAGTTTTGAAGGACGGCGTCAATTCAAGTTTACGGTCACCAGCAATATGGGACAAACTAGAACTGTTGAGACAGCAACGTGACATACGAGGTAAAAAAGGCAAGAGGAAACTATATGACCAAAAGTGCCCGGATCTACCACTTCACGATATACACAAGGAATTTTTGAAACCTAAAACGACGTTGATCAGGCGTCCAGTAACAATAAAAATAGACGAATCGAAGCCTAGAGTAAAGATTCATAAACATATTCCGTTGCGCGAACTCGATACTATCACAAACATACCCAAGTTGAAAACACCAAAACAAGAATCCGCCACTCCTAGAGCAAAACTTGCTTTTTCCAAAAAATAATTTTTTTTTTTATTCAGATAATAATTGTGAACTTATTGGGTTTTTAAAAATGTATTTTTACAGTAAAATCACTATTAAATTAATTAATTGACAATTAAGTACAAGAAGAACTTTTTAGTTGTGTTTAAGCATAGATAATTTCAGAACTCAGATAATTAAGATTCTATGTTGAATAAAATTATTATACTAAAGGATAATTAGGTACCTACTTACTAGTTAAGTAGTGAGGAGATTAAATATACATTGAGGAAAAAATGTATTATGTACCTAGGTACATAGAAAAGAAATATGTATGAATGTGTGAGAGGTAATAGGTATTATGTTGACGTTCAAATATTATAAGCAAATTAGAGGTACCTATATGATTAAAAAGTGTTATTTAAGATTAAAATAGCTCTATGTAAGCCGTAAGGACAGTATCTACACCAAGAACCGATGTTATTTAATTTAATTTTAATGCACATTTCCTTATACATTAGTTGTGATTTATCAAATTTGCATGCGCAAAGTTATATAGCTTAATGGCCTACATAATGGGCCGTTTTATCGTTTTTTTTTTCTTTGAGATTGTTGAACTTTTGCATACTATATAAACAAAAATATAAAACTTTAATCAACCTTGGTATGTTTTTAAGCATTTTAGCATCAAAGTCTAACAAAATGACTTGTCATTTATAACAATCAAATAAGTGCTTCTACAATGAAAATAATAATGCCATAATAAATTATTTGAGATAAGAAAAAGTACCGATTCAAGATTTTAAATTCATACACCTACGTCTTACAGGAACCAATGATGTAATTTTCCGTTGAAACACAAATTTGTTTTATACAAAATCTTCATACTTTCATATACATTTTGATCGCTGAAATTGGAATAATGACTTGGTATTTAAGAAATCGTATACTAAATATTAAATTTTATATCAATAATCATTTATTTAAAACTGTTCTTGTAAATTGTAATGAGTATTTTTTTTTTAAATGTAAAACCAATAGGTATAATAGAAAGTTTAAAAACCAAATGGTGTTATTTTAATTATATGGACGATTTAGAAATGTTAAGTAGTTTTGATAAAATTGAAGTATCTGTTACCTGTTTTAATAATATAAAATTTAATTTGTTTTCAAATATTTTATTATATCTGTAAATGATAGAATGCATTGGTTTTACAATGATGTGGTATTTATTTTTTTTTATAATTAAAATATGAGTAACCTTATAGGGCGTAAACTTGAATTGTTTTTTTAATATGTATATAAAACTTTCTAGATACCTATAATAATATTTTTGTTCTTTTTGTGATATTTATAAACATTTGAAAATTTAAAATTTTTGATTTTAGTTTTGTACAGTTTCTTTAAGTCAAAATGCTTGAAAATTAAAAAAAAAAACAATATTTGACGAAATTCATGAAAAAAGCAAAAATTTGTGAATTATTTTTCAGTTAGAAATTCTTAAAAGTGTGGATTTACATTGTTAGCATTTGTAAGTTTTATAGGAGATAATTATTCATAACTCATAAGTTTTTATTATCATACCAGTAACAAAAAAAAGTTTACCGGAAAGCACTCTATTTATTAGGTGTGAACAATTTTCGGTGTTACTAATTTTTTTGTTGATAAATTTGATTTAGTAATTAATATTTTAATTATTTATTCAAGTATGCTAGACTGATACACCGTCTTCGCACAGGATCGCTATCGTATTCAATGGCTTATCATTGACTTAAAATTATCAACACATCCATTACAATTTACAATGACAATATACTCGACATCTACTGTAGGTAAAGCAAAGCGGTACCCACTTGTCAACAATTTTTTTTTACTTTTTAAGTTTTAATTATACTACAAAATTGGATATTTATACACAAAAAATAATGATTGTAGTATTTATAATTAAAAAAATATTAACCAGGGATTTGAAACGTTTCTAAATTATATATTATACACAGTTCATTAATTTTACATACACAAACATGATAATGAAATGTTTTAATTATTTAAACAATCTATACCACGAACCCTATACAATGTTCGTCGGTATTGTCTAAGGGCAAGTTAATAACAATAATATTATAATATGATGAAATACTATTATATAGGTATACAATATTTTGGCAAAAATTAGGTAATTCTAAATTAAATATAAAAATAAATTACTCTTATTAATATAAATCAATATAATATCCTTAGAAATAAAGGCTGACCCACCGTCTCCTCTCAGAAATGTTTTCGTATTTAATTATTTATAATTTTATTCAAATATTTTAACATATCCATTATATACTATTATATACCTATAGCCTAATAAAGTAACTAATATTATACATCCACCTCAAAACTTCCTAGGTTTTTAAAAAAATAAAATCTACTCAATAATAATCTAATTAAAATTTAAAAATGTATATAGGAATGCAGTTTAATGGTCAGTGTCAAATATTTTCCCTATGAATTATTTTCCTCTTTCAAGAAAAATAAATGATAAATGTAGGTAATCATACCTACGTATTTCAAGGTAAGTTCAGTTTTAAATTAACGCATACCTACATGTAATAAATATAACAACGTAGGTGCTCTAAAATACTAACTAGAAAAAAAATGATTTACATTGTATATTGCTAGACATCGATAGTATTATAATATTATACATGCAATACACATAGCTATTTGCAGTGGCGGCTCGTACATAGATGTGGAACGACACATGGATTGATATGGATATAACAGTAAAAATGTATTTTAATTTTAATCCAATATCTGTTAAACTGTATTTATTCTACAGTAAAAAATTAAATTTAAAAAAAATATTTTGATATTAGCTATTTTTATACTCCTAAGACTTAGTCGAGTTATGTAACAAATACACATCGACCATAGTGTGCAGGTCAGTCAGAACTCAGAACACCGTCGGTCCGTGTAAAATACGTTTCGTCGTTGGGTGGTGGGGATGAACGAATAAAAAGGACCTAAGGAACCTAACCTATACAGTGCTAATCGGCATTATTATCTTAAATCCACCGGTATTTTCTATCTTTATTTTTTGTCATTCAAACATTTTGTGTTTAGATTTTGGTGATATTTTTATTTTAAAAGACTTTTACAATAATTGCATACCATAAACCTATAAGCGTTAAACTTTAACATATACCAAGTGTCACTGCGTGCTCAACCAAATATTTTACCCACGAGCCGCCACACTGCTCTTCTGTAGTAAAACGCGTAGCATGAAGGTGGTATAGGTACAGTAGAACCTCGATTATCCGTGACTCGATTATCCGTGTTTGTGATTAACGTTGCTCACTCTTCCGAAAATTTAAAAATAAGTATGGACTGTAGATATATAATATGTAGTTATAATCGAACATTTTATATTACATAATACACGATATCGACAATCGTATTAATGACATTTTTGAAGATATTAATATGAAGATAAGCAATATTATTATAATCACACGTAAATTGCTCACAGTCATCTAATGAATAAGTACCCCCCCCCCCCCCCCCCGAATCATTTCATTGTTAACGATGCGTAAATATATCTCTGTACCTATAACGAATAATATGGTGCTTTTACAGTATAACGAATAAATTACACGATATCAATGAAAAATGTTTTTGTAAATGTTGTCACTATCAAATATTGTTCTAAAATAAATTCAATTTTATTGTATCGTTTGTATCTGTTAAAGATAAGGCAATATTGGTACTTGGTAGGCAAGTAGGTTAAATTTACTATACTGCGTCAGGGCTGCAGTATCAATAATGACGTAAGCAATAAAATGTTCTGTCATTCCGAAATATAATTTGTAACTATTGTCGATACGATTATGATTATTACTCACTGATTATTTCTTTTAAATTAAGATTAAAAAGTAAATTAAATACGATTGAAATAAGTTTAATAAAACTATTATAAAAGACGTATAATATTATGTATAATATGTTATTTTATGTTTTTTTTAATACATTATAAAATATGAGGGAATATCCAATTAATTAAATTTAAAAAAGGTGCTCTGCTGTACAGTAGTTTACAAGTGGGTCACTGTATAATGGATGGTATTAAATTTGAATCCAATGATATAATATCATTGTTTAAGAAAAACGATTCTGAGCGGAGACGGTATGTCAGTCTAGGTATAGGACATATTACCTATATACTTATCTATCGTATTAAAAAAATTTACCTAAAATAGGTACCTATAATAAATTCCAAATTAATCACATCACAATATCCATTAGGTACTTATAATGCGTCAGTGGCGTATACAAGGGGGGTGTTTGGTGGATATGACACCCCCCTTGAGCCGTATCATATATTACATTATTATTACATATATATATTACAATATACATTATTATATATGATAAAATAGGAACATAGGTAAATACTAAATCGTAAATACAATATGAAATATAAAATAATCCACAATACTAATTACATAATATATAGGTATACAGGTTAACAATATCGCGATTGCGGTATCGCAATAATATACGCTTTCGACGACGGGTACTGCTATGTGATAACCGCGCTTCCGTGGCGACCGCATAGGCGTGCGCACGGGGGCAGCAGAGGCAGCATATGCTGCCCCTGGACTTACTTTGGGGCCACCGGGGCCGGCAAATATTAAATAATGGGCCTTGGTAAAATTATATTTCCACAAAGGATTTTTTTTGTTTTGATAAACTATAGATAAATATTTTATATATATGCTTGTAGAAAAGTACACCTTTAGTGGCTTAGTACCTTACTGTACAACCTTTTATCCAAAAAAACAAATAACCAATACAATTTTAATTTTTATATCCAATAGTAAAAAAAGTAAAACTATGGGCAGGTTTTAATGGTGAATTTGAAAAATGGGCCGAATTAATCTCTTGCTTCCCCTGAAACCGAAGGCTGCGCACGCCTATGGTGGCGACCACTTAACAGGTCGCGTAACGTAAAGTGGACGTATAGCACGGAAGATAGTAGAAGAAGTAATACA